CAAAAAAATATTTGCAGAAATTTTTTTTAATATTCTTTTGCAATAATAAATCCATAGAACTTTTTACGAATTTATTTGTGAAAAATAATTTGTAGAAATTTTGACATATTTTTTTTATCGAAAATAATTTACAAGAAGTTTTTGCAAATTTTGCTACAATTTTGATGATCATAGAATTTTTTTTCATGGTAAAAATTCGTAAAAATGTTGTAAGAATTTTTTTTTTGTTTCTTGCAAAAATAAATTTTCAGATAATATTTATCAATAGCATCATAAATGGTAGAAAAATTTCACAGGTGATTTTTCTTGTGGATTTTCTTGTCAATTTTAATCCCCAAGAAAAATTTAAAAAATATTTAAATTTATAAGTTTAATAATTAAAATTTTTAATTAAAAATATTATTTTAGTAAATTATTTATAAATATTTCATAAAAATTAATTTATTTAAAAATATTAATTAATTAAACATTTATTTTAATTAAATGTATAAATTAATGATAATGAGTTTTAATTTAATGATAGTTTTAAAAATAAAATTATTTAATAAAACTATTTTTTAGAATATTGAATATTAAGAGTTAATATAATTTATAATAATATGATTTTGTAGTTCAATGTGATTGAATTAATTTTATTTATAAGGACATAATCTAATTAATTTTTAAAGAAAATCTTAAGCTCCACATTAATTAGAAATAAGACAATTAAAGAGTATATTACTAAAGATTAATCTTAGGTTGGGTTAGACCTATAACCTACATTCAAAAATTTCAAAAGGTCATCAATCACATATTGGAGGTGTGAAAAACATATTATGAATTCATTGTGTGTTTGAAAGATAATAATTGAAGAAATAATGGTGATTTGATACTCACAATTATGACAAAATTTATTGTAAATTTAATTTTTTTTAAGAAATTTAGCAAAACAATTTACACAAAAATTACTTTTGAATTATAAATTCGCAAGAAACTTTTTGTAGCAATTTCTTTATTTTTTTTTTCATAAAAAAATTTGCTACAAAATTTCTTGAGATTTTTTTCACAATAAATTTCATAGGAAAATTTCTTGCGAATTTTAAAATTTGCAAAAAGATATTATCCACAAAGATATTATCTGTAGATAAAATTTCACGGAAAAATTCGTAAGGATCACATTTCTTGTGAATTTTTATGTAAAATTTGTATGAAAAGTCGCATATAATAAGAGAAATTCTAGTAGTAGGATGACGAAACGTACTTGCAAGTAGGATGGTTGTTTATCCATAATTTTAGGTCTAAGTTTGGGGTGGGTATTTCATTCATGAGCGTGAACCAAGTTGTGGATAAGAGGAGGATATTACTTCATTTAATTGTATGTCTTCTAGATGAGTTATGATGGGAATGCTTGAGATTGGATTGATTTGTTGTCAATGAGTTATGGTATTTTAGGGTTCCTTAGACTTGAGTGGTGATATGATTTGGATGAATTATATGAGTGGTGGTTTGAAATTTTTCGTTAATATCATTAAGTGTGCATTACAAGTAAATAATGTTTTATGAATGTAACTATAAAATTGAGACAAAACTAAGAATAATTGGACTTAAGAGTGAGTTGAGGGGGATTTCAAAAACCCAATTTTGTGAATTTTGTGTGTCCGTACTAATTGGGAGATTCTCAATACTAAGCTTGATATTCCATAGGAAGAGAGTTCGTTTGTATTTCTCCAACACTAAGTATGGACTTGCCTATGCTAAGCATGAAAGTCACAAAGAAAAATAATGACTCTGGCACCAAGCATGCATGTTGTACTCACACTAAGAGTTGGATCCACAGAGAGAGACCCTTAGTTAGGCCCTTAGAGAGTCTAACCTTGCTATACACCATTTCACATAAGAATTCTAAGTTTGGGTGCTAAGTGAGAGTGAGTTTCACTAAGCACCATAGTTATATTGTTGCATTTAAAAGAAAAGGCTAAAAATGTTTGAAGATGCAATACAAGAAGGTTTTGGCTTCACATATGAAGAGATCAAAGAGTCAAACTTGAAGTCAAGGTTGTCTGAAGATGAAGTCATGTTGTAATAGTTTAAGTGTTTTTACTTAGGAATAGGTAGCTAGAGTCATGTGAAGCAAATATATGATTAACCAAATATTTCTTAAAACTAGAGATTTTAAAATAAACAAGATTAAAAGAAAAACATGCTTTCATAAGTAAAATCAATCAAGCAAAAAAAAAAACATTAAAAAAATTATCTTTAAGTTTTTCAAAGAGAAAAAGATCGATCTTTAGTGTAATCACTTAACTGAAGAAGTAACAAATTATATATGTATAGTAAAAGTCTTTCTTGTAACTGATTACATGAAGATGTATTAGATTGTAATGTGTCCTTCATAGTTTCTAGGAAATCAAAAATCTGTTATATCTGATTACACAAAAGGGTAATTGATTACATAAGAGCCATAGTATTTTGTGAGAAAGGTTTATAAGTGTATAACATGTTAAAATTGTTTTTCAAATGATTTAAGTTTTAAGATGTGAAATTGTAACAACCTAAACACATCAGAATGAGAGCAATCCAGAGATTTGTATAGGTATGAGACTATGCAGTTAAAGATAACTCAAAGGAATTAATTTGTAAAAAAGTATGGGTTCTAGAGAACTTCTTTCTAACTTCTCTTTAGCTTTTCTTAAACCATGAATTTATGAGGTTCATGTCTTAAGAAAAATCTTATATACCATTTCTTAAGTTGAGTCAACTTAACTCTGTTTGAGACTACCTTTAAGACAATTTAACTTTCAGGGTTCTTTGATCCCAAAGCTCTAAAACAACAATCAAACAAAAATTTATAAATCACATATAATCAAATAAAGCACCTAAAACGTATAGTGTTACATATTAAGTCTTTAATGAACTCATTTAGTGTATGAGTTTTCCTTGACTTGTTTTGTAGTGTTGACTTAAATAAAATTTTGTTTTGAGTTTGTAATATAGTCGAACATGGCAAATCTGTAGACTTTATTTTGAGTTTTTAATGTTATTAACACTTGGTAGATTTTTGGGTACTTTTTAATGTCGAGTTATTGACAAACAAATTAATTATAGGCTTATATATATTTTAAGCCCTTACAAATATAGTGCTGTCTTATTTTCTTCTTATATATATATATATTTTATTTTTTTTTATCATTTTTTGATTCTTTACATTTTCTTAGCATACATTTTTAGTTCCTGTCACTAAATTTATTGTTAAAATGGATATCAAAATATAAAATATTAATTTAGATAATTAAAGTAATGAAAAATATTTTAAATTAAGATAATTAAATTATTTTTATGTTCAAAATTTAATTAAGTAATTTATGTATTATTTTATATAAATAAGGTAGTTAAATATAATTAGCCTTTAAAGTTTTTTTTTTAAATTTTTAACATGTTATGAACAATGATTTTTATTGCATTTATTTTTTCTTATCAATATTTAACTTTATTATTAGTTTTATTAATATTTGATTTTTATTACATTTAATTTTTTTGTTATTTTTCAGTTTATTAATTTTTATTACATTAAATTTATTATTATTATTATGAATATTTAATTTTATTCTTACTTTTCAATTTATTAATTTTTAATATTGTACTTTTTAAAAATATTATATATATATATATATATATATATATAATTTACTTAGATGTTTATAACACATTTTTAGTATCTTACTTTTAATGCCTTTTTAAAATTTTAATTTATTAATTTTAATTGATTGTGATATAATTTTTATTTATGATATTTTTAGATTGAGACATGAAATAAAATAGTATAAAATATTAGTAGGAGTGAGGACAATAATACAATTACATAATTTTTCAAAGTGGCTTGATATTCAGAAATAGAGCCATATTAGTAGAGCTTAAAAAGTGTAGCTCGATGATTTTCATAAGTGGATGAGTCAAAACACAATTCTAGCGCTTTGGTAAAACTCGATCAATTAGTGAGTTAGTTGTTTGAAACATTCATTGGAACCAACTAAGCATGTCACCCTTCATTTAAAAAGTAATCATGAAAAGTTTGTGTTCTTGTAGTATTTGATGGTATAAGAAATAGTCCTCAACTTGAAACAGTCAATCCAAAGGCTCAAATTTGTCAAATGGTGATAATTGGAGTTTAGGAAAACATAAGGGTTAAGTATGATGATGGATAAAGGGAGGTGGTTTAGTATTGTAAAGGTTAAATGGGGGTGGTTGAAAATTAATAAATAAAGGGGTAATGTGATGAGTAAAGATGGGTTGGTGGAAGGACATATGTGGTAGGGGATGCTGAGATGATGGCATGGTGGTGGTACTGAATAAAAAAATAAAATTGGGGCTAGTAAGTGAGGAAATATGAGGGATAAATGGTATCTTGAAAAGAATGGTAAGAGGAATAGATAATTGTGGTTGGAAAAGATTGAAGGCACTATAGGAGCTTCCATTAGTGAGCTATTTAATCACACTTACAAGAATAGAAGTTAGCAATTCATGTTTGGAATCTTGAATGTGCTGATTGTTCTCAATTTAAGTAGTCAAAAAACCTATTTTCTCGCTAGAGAAATGATGGTACCATCTAGATCTTTGGAACGTGTAGAGTGATTATTCAAAGGCACGGTATGTCGAAGAAAGCAGTAATCTGATAGGCTTACATGACTCACGTAAAAAAAAGGAAAGCAAAACTAAGAAATACTAGATAACAACATATCTTCATTCATAATTTGGATTGTTTACAAGATGACAATTTAATGAACAAAAGCAACAATATTAAAATCAAGACCCTTCAAAAGGAAGCATCCAAATTAAAAGCAACTTATTTAATGGATCAGGTCCTAGTAATAATCATTTATCCAAGCTAGTGTTAACATTTCATTTGGGCCACTACATAACAGTTGGTCTAATGTGCGTGGTAGTTGGGTAACTAGGATTTTGGAGCTTCTATAAAAGTAAGAAGTTGAACCCTCTTCCTTTATGTATTGCCGCTTTTGGGAGATTAGAGAGAGAAATTTCATTTTTTTCTCTCTCTACAATTTGTCCTCCTTTTGCCAAAATCCACCAACACCTTGTCTCTACAATTTGATTTGGACCCTCAGCAAGAGTTTTTCCTTCCTTATTCTTTAGTGCATGTTTTTGTGGCAATGTTGAGAGCTTAAAGACAACACTCATTTTGCTCAATTTGGGGTTGAAACCACAAAGGTATGGGGAGGTTTCCTTTTCTTCCATCCAAGCTACGATGTTTTCTTCTAATTCTTGTGTTGTTTTGGTTGTTGAAACTAGTTTGAGTCATGAGTATCATGAGAATGTCACAAATATTGAAAAGTAGTTGTTTTTTATGTTTGGGTTGCAACTACTTTTTAATTTTAAAATATATTTTCTGGGTTGGTTTTGGTGGTGTGAGACCATTTCTCCAAGGAGGTAAATAGTTGAATTAGATAATTTTTAAGTTGGATTATAATAGATCAAATAAAAATAATTCATTAATCCGTTTAGATATCCTAAAAAATTATTTAAAATCTAATCCATCCAATCCATTTAAGAATATAAAATCTAATCTATCAATTAACAATTTTTTTAATGTATGTATATCCGATCCATCCATGAAAAAATATTTTTTTTTTGTAAAAGTCTTTTAAAAAATATTTTAAGTCATTATATTAATATATAATCTTTAAGTGTCCAATTTTTTTTTCAAAATAGTCTTTCAAAATCTCAATCCAACATATCCCTCTTATTGTAATCTAATGAATTTTGAAAAATAGTGGATGAATTACTATTCATTTATAAAATTTAATAGATGGATTGTATCAAATCTATTATTACTTTATATATATAATGAATGAGTTTAGTCATGGATGGATTAGATGAATGATGGATAGATATATTGTTTTGCCACTCCATTTCCCAGTATCTTGACTCCTCTATATGCTATAATACTTTTTTTTTTCAAAATTGTTTGAGCACTATAACAATTTCTAAGGGGTTTTTCTATGTAAATAATTGAATTTGTCAAATGTGTTATTTTTAATTTTATAAACAATTTGGAGCATGATTTTGGAAAAGTGAAATCATACACTTGTTTGTCAAATGAAGAAGAGACCATCTTCAATTTTTCATTGAGCGAAACAAGCTTGAAAAATATTTTTTATTATTTACTTTTTGAAAAATTGAAATTACTCTACTGAAAAAATGAATAGAAAAATAATTTTTTGTAGGAATTTTAGTTTGACAAAAATATATTGACCTTATCATTCCTTTTAATTTTCCTTACCCACAGATACTCTCTTTTTTATTCAAGACTTTGGATTGAATTTCTCCTATTGCATATCGTATATTTGTTAATATGAGACAAATTAAGTATTTCTTATTAATTATAATTTAGTCAAATCTATATAATTTTAATGTTGACATAGTAAAAAATTGTTATTAAATAAACATTTATTAGTATTTAATGTTCATCAATATGCTAAATATTAAATAATTTATTATTTTCAGGAAAACAATAAGTTATAGAATTCAAAAGTCTATCTATGAATATTTGACTACAATCTATACTTTAGATTTTTTTTAATTATATATTTCAAGTGACTAAAGTATGTCTGTCTCATTCATCGTTTTGCTTACAATACTCTAGAGTAAAAAAAGTTATAATTAACCAAGTCTTTCTCATTTTATTCTCAAGAGATAACTCAAAGTTATATATGTTCCTTTAAAAATAAATATTTTTATTCAAGACGTTTTGGACAAATATTTTTATTCGAGACTGTGAACCGGTATTTCTATTTGTAGGTCTTCATTGATACATTTACTGGTAAAAAATAAAGAATTTTTGTTAAAAAGAATTTAGTTAAATATTTGAATTATAGATTGCAAAATTTTAAATATACATAATTAAACCATAATTTGTTAGCATATAATAATGTTTAACAATAATTTAAATAAAAAAGAATTTATTATTCTCTTCAAAATAATAAGTTATCATATTTTAAAAGTTTATCAATATTTGACTATGATCCATATTTTATGTTTTAGTTGTGATTATTTATTAAAAATGACTAAAGCATGCCTTATCTTTCTTAAGTATAAAAATAATCTTGAATTCTTCATCAACATCATTTTGTTAATCATTCTACAATATTTTCTAACATTTTTTGTTTTGTTTTTAATGATAAGTTTTAAATGTTCTTTTTAAATAATAATAAATAATAATAATTCATGTATTTTTTTTTTGAAGAATTTTGATTGATTATTTTTACATTATTTGATAGAATTTTTATTATAATTAGTTAACTTTTTGGTTCATTGTAGACACTTTTTGATGTTAAATAATATATATATATATATATATACATATTGATTGTCCTTGCTAAGGTAAGTTCTAAATGAATTGGATATTCATCAGTAACAAGTTCCTTTCACACACACATGACATGACTTACCCATAATAATCCGGGTTAGGGATGAAGGTTGTTGTGTTTAGCAAGCCATAGTTTCCTCCAACCAAAGTTTGTCTACAATAAACCTTGTGGTTTAAGGTTGATGTCATGCCTAATTGGTCCAAGTACCTAGTTATTAAGTTAAAATATTTTAACATACATAGATACATATACATATACATATATATATATATATATACTTTTGAGTTTGATAGAATCATGTTGTTATTATATAAAATTCATTGTGATTTATAGTTCAATTAATTTTTTTTGAATTTTATGTATTAAATATGGTTGACTGTTCTAAGATGGTAAATTGGACATTGGAGAATAATATGGTTAGGGATAAGTCTAATGTCATGAAAGATCTTGTCTCCTTAGTCTTGTAGGTTTCGACAAATATAGTTTCAAGTTAAATGTAAATATCTTATACCTTTCATTATTCAAAGTAGACTATGCTTTTTTACAATTTTAGTCCGCAACCAAAACCAAAATCATTATTATATTTTATGCAATGGAGTATTTTTTTTTGTAAAAGTTTATTCAATTGAAAACTCTCATAACAAATCAAAGAATTTATTTGACATTTACAATCCATCTCGGTGATAGCTTTTGCAACTTCATGTGTCCCAAAGTAAAAAAGTATGACATTTGGGTGTTTTATTGTGATTATTTGTTTTCTAACAATATTTCAACATAGCACATGTTGTGTTCCCTTAATCTCTTAACATGTAGCAATATATTTTTATAGTAACATGTTGATAATAAACATGATAGCAAATTGCAAGTTACAACCACACCAACTACTCATGCCAATATTAGAACAAAAGGTTTTAAACCACATGAGATGAGTAAATATTAATAGTATAGATATGAAATATATCTGATACAATTTTAATCACTTAAATACATTATTTTCATCTTTTTATTAGTATAGATACGAAATATTTGATACAATTTTTTCATGTTATAGATTAAACATTTTAAGTATAAATTTTGTAAAGTTCTACATTTGTAAGTGACCCAATAGTAGTTATATATCAGAAAATTTGATAGATCCAACAACAATAGGCAGAATAGACCTTAATACAATCTTATATAATGTAAATTTCTTTTCTTGTAAAGTGTATAGACTTCCAAGTTATAAAATTGTAGTCATTCGAACCACATAAACCAACATTTCAAATTTTAACTAAGATTCTATATCTAGGCATGTACCAAATGTCAATAATCACTAACAAAAAGAACTTGGCATATTCAAGTATTAAAATCCCAATTTCTAAAAGGCAATCTGTTATGCACTATTTATTTTCTTCACCGATTTAGCTATTTATTTATTTGTATAGGTTTTTGCAACACCCTAGTAATAGATGCCATTGGACTTTGTCTTAGATGAGGAGTAATTCTTCCTGAGTGGGGTTTGTTCCTCATTAATTAATTTTTTTCTCCAAATGCAACCCCTGATGCTTTGGAAGATATTGAAGATGATCTAATGAGTGATGACTATGATTTACAATTTATTATTTTGGATTGTGTCATCAAGGGCTACAATCCTCTGTATCAATCAATAACTTTAAGCAACCTTCATAAGCTAGTTAATACAATTGTCTTTTTGGTTTACTTCTCTATATAGAAATGAAGTAATCCAAAATCTAAAATAACTTCGTGAAATATTTTATCTTCTTCTATGTCACATGGTTGTTTTAAATAATCATAATAATCATTACTCATCAAATCATTATCTGTGTCTTCCAAAGCATCAACGGTTGCACAGTTGGAGTAAAAGTTTGATGAGGAACAAGCCAAGCTCAAGGAGAAGTATTCCTTGTAGGAGAAGAAGTCCAATGGTATCTAATGTGTTGCAAAAACTTATAGAAATAGGTAAATAGCCAAATAAGTAGAGAAAATAAATAGTGCAAAAGCATCAACTTTCTAGAGATTAGGTCTTTTAATACTTTAGTATGTTATTTTATTTTCTTTAGTACTTGTTGATATATTTGGTACATGTTTGAAGATAGAAACATTGATAAAACTTGAAATGGTGGTGCATGGTACAAATGACTATAATTTTACAATTTGGAAGTCTAGAAATTAAAAACAAAAAACAAAAAAACAAACATATTTAGTATTTGAAACTATTCTAACAATTGTTGTAGAATCTACCAACCCACTTGTTATAAATTCATTATTAGATCATTTGTTTACATTTATATTTGAGATCTTTATATGAAAACATGTTAAATATTTTATATTAGTAATTATTAAGAAGGAAAAAATAGTATATAAATTAGATACAATCTTAATCTTACAAATTAACTAATTTTACAAGATTCAGTTAAACTCAATTTCATAATATGTGAATTTGGTATCTAAATGAAAGCTACTACTTGGCCCGAGCCAAAGTAAATATACAATTAATGACTGTTTCTTCATTCTATGGAATCTAATGTCCTATTCAAGTAGGCATGTAACATCCTTTATACATTTTGCCTAATGTTTTACAAGGAAATACAAAGTTTAAATCTTTGTATGGTTGACAATCTCAAACTCATCCCTAGAGGCTATCTTCGACAATATTCTTCCCCACAATAATCTTGATGTGAAACCAACATCATCTATGCAAATTGGGAGTGTAGAGAATGACAGACACACCTAGATTTGGCAATCAACAAACACGTAAGAATATTTATAATTTTTTTCTTCCTTTGGTTTAGTAATAAAGTATATGCTTGTTATTTATGATTTTAAGTTGTTGCAATATATTTGACCCTTTTATCATGCCCACACTTGACATTATAATAATTAATTTTTTTTTGAAAGATATGTGGAAGATTTACGTAGAGGTGAAGAAGAATAAACTAGAAAAGACTCATTTATGGTAGGTGGAGTTTAAAGTGTGAATTATTTATTTATTTATTTTTTAAAATTTTCTTTTTCTACTTACATCTTTACTTAATTAAATAAAAAGATATTATTATAATAACAATATTATAAATTATTTTAAATTTTATTAATCGATAGCTTAATCAAATATAAATCTTTTGAATTGTAGATTGTAAAGTTTTAAATATATATTACGAAATCAACTTTTGTTTGCATTTATGTTCAACAATATTCTTAGTAGATATATTTTTATTCATAAAAATTATAATATTAGTAACAATGTTTAAGACCTGATTTAAAATGATATACATAATATTCCAATCCAATTACTAGACAAACTCTAATAGTTCTATTTTCATTAGATAAAATATCAACTATCCTAATTTTGTGATTGCATAGACTACTTTTGGTTTAATGATAAGTCTACCCTCTCTTTATTGAAGATTCACAATGATAACACGATTGCGAATTATGTTAATTTGAAAATGAGAATTTGTATTATGTTATTATAATTAAAATTTAAACCATTTTCAAGAATCTATTAATTTCATGAAACCAATAAGTTGTCAAATTTAAAATGTCTATCAAAATGTCATATCATTTACACACCATAAAATATTTCTTAGATTCTTAAATATAAAGAATTAATAAATCTAAACCTTCTTATATATCGTTTTCTTTAAATCTGTCTACAAATTCTTTTATTTTTTTTTATGATTTTATGATAATATAAATATATTTGGATTTTATTGACTACAAAATATTACGAAGAAATAAAAAAATATAGGAAAATACTATATTAATCAATTATAAAAGTACATTTTTACACTTATGTGATAACACTCTGATATAGACTATGAATTCAAATTAAGTGAGATCATGCAAGATTTAAAAATAGGAGTAACTATACATAGAAATGTCTTCAACCATCAACAAAGAGATCTTCTTTTTAGTCTTACAGTTCTTTCACGAGCAATGTTTCAAGGAAGCAACACTCACGTATGTGTCTCTCTCTTTCTACAATGCAAAGTTAAGGTTTATTACATGGTTTTTAATGTTATATATCAATATGATTGTTCTTTTGGCATGTTATTTTTCCTTGAATCTTTCTTTCACAATTTTGGGAGTGAAAGTGAGATATGTTTTACAGATAGTTTTTGTTGAATGGTTATTGTCCTTTATCTCATTTGAAGTGGGATGTGGTTGAAAATTATCTTTTAGGATTCTTAAAGGTGATCAACAATAAGCACTCGTCTTAATAGTTTTGGAAATAAGGACACAGAAGAACTTTGAAAGATATACTTTAACTTCTAGCATTTTAAGAGTAAGGGGGATAAGAACTATCTTTCAAAGTATTTTTGCTTCCATATTTCAAAAAGTATTTTAGATAAGTGTCGTTTAACATTTGTGAATCGTGGAAGATAACTCTCACTTGAAATGAGGTCAAAGAAAATAAAAATTCAATTAAAACTATCTTTAAACCTTGAAAGATAATTCTTAATTTCATCCTATTGGCTCTCATAATACTCCAAGTCAAAGTATATTTCATTTTCACATCCAAAATTGTGAAGTAAAGATTCAAGGGAAAACAACATGACAAAAAACAAACATATTCATTTATAACATTAAAAACCATGTAAGAAGCCTTAAATTTTTGTTGGAGAGAGAGAGAGACAGATACGCGAGTGTTGCTTCATTGAAACCTTGCACATGTAAGAATTGTAAGATTAGAAAGTAGAGCTCTTTGTCGAGGGTTAAAGACATGTAAACTTCCAATCTTGCCTACGCACATTTAATTTTATTCACATGTCAAAGTATCTATCACATAAGGTGTAAAATCGTATTATAATTAAGTAATGTAGTTCTATTTTTCTACAAATTTTCCATATATAGGTAATATTTTGTATTCAATAAAATTCAAACATTATTGATTTAAAATCATAAAAAAACATTTAATACTTTTCTTAAAATGAAAATAAGAAAATTTGTAGAAATATTTTTTTTAAAATGATATAAAAAATTATTTCGATTGTGATGTGTGAATGAAATGACATCTTGTTAAATCATTTAAATTTGGTAATTTATTGAATTTGTTTTTGGGTGTGAAACCTTATTCAATTGAAAACTCTCATAATAAATCAAAGTATTTATTTGATATTTGCAATAGATCTTAATGATAGTTCTTGTAGCATTGTATGCATCTCGAAGTAAAAAAGGTATGACATTTGTGTGGTTTATTGTGATTATTTGTTTTCTTACAACATTTTAACACAACACGTGTCTTGTTCCCTTAATCCCTTAACATTTGGTTATCAGTAGATTTCTTTAGTAACATATTGATAATAAATGTGATGACTTATTGCAATTTACAATCACATACCGACTACTCATGCCATTATTAGAAAGGAAGTTTTAATACATATGAGATGACTAAACATTAATGTAAACACCCAATTTTGTCCTCTTCTCTTTCTATTCCTTTTCCGTTTCTTTTCTTTATAAATTAATCACATGTTATTTTTTCTTTCTTATTCAACATTCAAATTAAAGTGAAAGACTCAATCACTACTCTCTTTAGAAAGATAAAAATTGTGCCAAATGCCAACTATTATTGTACATAATTATCTTGATAAAGCTGTATAAATTAATATTGTATGACACAATTTAAAAGGAAACACAAGTGAGTGTCTCACGCAACTCCAAATTGTAATGTTTTTTTTAAATAAATAAAAAAAAATGTATACTTATAATAATAATAATATAAAATAAAATAAAATATAAAAAAAAGTTCATTTATTGGCGTACGAAGTGCATAATCTAGAAGCTTATGCACTCTGAAGATCTCCACGGGCTAGCCTTCAAGCGCCTCCAATCTTAATGAAGATGTGATTGATCACACATTCTTGAGCCCACCCCTACTGCGGTGAAATCACGCAAGGCGAAAAATTATAATAATTACTTGAAGGCAATATAAAAAGAGACCACTACGAAGAAAGGGAGGACTTCTCTTCGCAATCCTCGTCCACGCGGATTGGCTTCCTATCTAGCATTCAGTGGTTTCTTCGCACAAATAGAGCTGGTGCAATACGGGTACAATTTCTTTTTCTTGTTCGTGCTGATTGGTAGAACTGTTACCCTTATATTCTTTATTTTATGAATGCATGATTGGTAGAAAATCAGCTCTGGCTATGCGGGGATTCTCTTCCATGCATGGTTCCTGTTATTTCTCCTTAATATTATCGATTAATACCTGATCCATATAACTTGTTGTCACGTTTTATTCATTTTTACTTTATCATTTACTATCTCATTTTTTTTATTGGTTCCACAACGTGAATGATATACATATTATTTTGCCTTTCAAATATGCGTTATTATAATAATCATTCGACATCCATTATGTTATTCCATGTGCTTGAAATTGTGTTTATATATCTTTTGTTGATTTGCTTTCCTTTTATTGTCGTTACATTGCGGTTGGGATTTTATTAAGTATAATATACCTTTATCGTATATGGCTTGATTAGCATGGCCTGGATAGCTAAAGCTATTAAATGGAATTAGTAAAATAGAACAAAACTGAAAGAAACCGAGTCGAATAAAATAGGAACAAGTGATAACGTGTAGATTTTCTCGTTTAAACATTCTCATATTAATTTAATAATATCAATATTAATAATACTAAATAAATAAGAAAAATATGTCATCTAAGCAATAAATTTTATGATAGAGTTAACTAGATGAGACATCTTCTAGACTCCAATATATTTTAGATGCAAGTTGTGACCGCTTGATAGTCTTAAGACTTAAAAAAAAATATGTTTTAGTTAATGTTAATAATTTCTCACAAATTACAAATGTTAATTATTAAAAGTTTTGTAATATAATTAAATT